AGGACTTTGACAAGGACCACGAATGATGGCATAATAAGAAAGCCTAGCTGATGAAACATTCAACTTCATGCAATTTTTCTTATGTTTTTGGCAAACTACTATCATTTAAGATATGCCATTTTTCAGAAGACAATAATTCATAATAATTTCAGTCACTATTCCAGGATTTGGCCATTTTTTGCATAATTGAAGTGATATTTTTTCATGTATTAAAATGTTGGTATCTGTCCTATTATTATCCTCCCATTCCTGCAATGGAAAACCTGGATGATGATGCAATATTGAAATTGGACAAAGGAGAGGTCCTATGGAGTCTCTTCTCTTATTATTTAGGAAAAGTGAATTTTAGGACTTTCTTAAACTCCAAGAAGAATTGAGTCATAGAGCAACTTAGCTAAATGCTGTTTTCAATATCCTTCTATTTATGATGGTTATATAGTTCCAGAGGAGGAATATATTAGTGTGATTTAATGAATAGTAGAAGTGATTAATGAGAGACAATTAACATGTTCCAAATATGTAAAGCTGGCTAGAAAGATGATAACTTATCTACAGGAATATGAAATGTATTCATATTAAAGAGAGAAAATTATGATTTTAAAAGTTAGAAAGAGCAATGATATGTGAAAGTAATTACTAGGACTAATAGGATAAAATTAAGAAACTAAAATGTAAGATGAAAATTGGAGTCAACTCAGTGACAGTGAACTGCATTAGGACATTAAACAGTAACTAAAGAAAAGTAAGAGGAGCCCCACTGCCTGGGGAAGTTAAAATTACAACAGAATAAACACACAAAAAAATTAAAATTGAATTTAACTAGTTAATTTCTCATTTCAGATAAATAATACTTTCTTAGTATAAGTATATCCTATGTGATAACTGACACATACGTTATTAAAAATAATTTTAATTTACTAAATTTGACAACAATAATCATAGCGTTTGTTAACTATGAGCATCAGTGAGTTGGTGGCTTTGTTTTCTGGCTCTCAGAACTTGGACCACAAGTGAGACTTGTCCAGGGAATTAAACCCAAAACAAATTCTATAAAAATGAATAAAAAATCTGATGGTGTTCCTGGAATATTTCTCTCTAAACATTAATATTATGTTAGTAAACTCCAGGAGAACACCTTTGCCTTAGGCTCATCTACTTCTCGTCTTAAACATTGAACTCATAATCCAAATTTGCAGTTTTCAAAAAAAGAAAAGGAAACGACATAGTTCTGAAATTTTGTTAAATGAGATAAACTATGTTCAAATTGTAAACACTCATCCCCCCACACCAAATATCTTGGTGAGACCAGATTTATGGAGTAAATAATGGTGAACATTATCAAAGACTGGAGCCTATTCTTTCCAAGAGTCTTCAAGTAGCTCAAAAGGGAAGAACTCTTTCCACAGTTCTTTTTTTCAGCTTGATTGTTTTAATCATCTGTTCAATCCAAATGATTATGTCAGAATCCAGCCCAAAGAACCTACAAGCACGGGCGGTTGAAATTTTAATATAGTATAGCTGGAAAAAAACTATTTATTATGCTCATAAACAATCTCTGGCTCTATAATCGCCCTTATCAAGCTCCTACTGTGCCTCATGTTTATGGAGTTATTCTGTATCCATTTTTGTTTTGTTTTGTTTGTTTTAAGACAGGAGAAGGGTATGTTTTGTGTTATGTAAACTCGCAGCCAGACATTTCATGTTTTTGCCTTCTTTGGTACTCTGATAACCTGAGTACATTTTCTTTTAATTTTTTTTCCTCCACCTTTTCATCAAAACCAGGTTTTAGATGAATAGGTCTCACTGTTCTTGGTATACTGTTTTTGATAGACTATTTTAGGTAATAAAAAAATCTGCTGGTAACTATGGAAGGTGAAACCCACAGACAGAGTTCTAACTAGTTTCCCAGGAGCAAAAGATTACTAGGAAATTACTGGAATATCTCTTTACAATGTATGAATGGTAAGTATTTGGAAAGCTTTACCAGGATTTACAGTAAGAGGAAAAATAACAATTATAATACTAATCCAATCTCTATGTACTATCATAGTTTTAATACAAATCAAAGAATTAAAGTACATTATATTGTATACAAAATTCTGCAAACTCCAAGAATAAATAGTGCAATTTCTTCCCAGTTTTTCTATACTTGCAATTTAGTACTGCCATGTTTTCTTCATAAATGAGGTTGTTAAAAATATTTCCATCTACATTAATTCATCTGCTTCTAAATTCCTCTCCCAATCTGAAATAATACTTCTCTTTCCTTAGTGACTCGAGATGGGTCCTATCCATCCATCTGCCTGAAAAACAAGTCCTTCAAAATGATTATCCTTCTCTTGGGGTAGTTAAATATACATGAGATAATCATAAACATGAAACCATGAGTTCACATAAACAGCCTGTACCTTTACAGTACGTAGGTGAGTGTTAAGATAAATGACATCTAACTTGCCAGGGGACCTGCTAAAAATGGAAAAAGAGATGCCTGTCATATTGGATGCACAGCTTGATAATAATATCTGATGGGGTAGAGGTGGCCAAAAATATCCCCACAAATTTCATTGAGAGTCTTTCTGACTCTCAATGAACCTCAGTCATTATAAAGTCTACCAGATGCAGCAGATTGAGTCTAAAAAATTACATTGATCTTAAACAAGTAGTAAACATGCCAAGGGTATTGCTTTCCATGAGCAAAATGCCTGGATTCTGACAGTCCATGCTCCTCTGCACCAAGGGGACCACACCTGTGCACCTAATTCTTATTTTTTAAAATTAATTCCTTTATTTTATATTTATTTTTGGCTGCGTTGGGTCTTTGTTGCTGCACATGGGCTTTGTCTAGTTGTGGTGAGAGGAGGCTACTCTTTGTTGCAGTGCGTGGGCTTCTCATTGTGGTGGCTTCTCTTGTTGTGGAGCACTGGCTCTAGGCACACGGGCTTCAGTAGTTGCAGCACATGGGCTCAGTAGTTGTTGTACACCTAATTCTTGATAGGCAGAAAGTGTGTACCATTTCTAGAACAGGTGATTTAAATGTGGATGAGACTTCTTGAATTAGCCTAAGACATTCTTATTTACTAATGTTAAGGAGAGAGGAGTCAAGGGAAGAAGTACAATAAATCTGTGGGTCCAACTGAATGTAATGCAATCTGCTAAACAAGATGGATGTTAGTTACTTTGGCAATTCATTTCTAGTTTTAATTCCCTGAGAAGGAAATGAATCCCACTGGTAGGTTATAAACTTCAGATCAATTAGCCCTTCTTTAAAGTATATAAATCTAAAATGCATAATATCTGCACCATATATAAATGTATATGTATTGTATATATGGTTCATATTTAAGAATTTTAGTTTTAACATTATTTAAAATTTTATTTTGTCTTATAAACACTTGTAAAATATTGTAATGACCCAGTCTCATCCACGTCCCTGAGAAGTATTCTAGGTTCTTAGTATCTGGTTTGGAAATTAAATTGTTGTTTTTCCTTCTATGCAATCTCCAGTATCTGGGAAGACCAATTTTCTAAGGCAATTCAGGAAAAATAAGGGAAATAATCATCAGTAGGACTGATCTTCTGTTTATGAGATCCTGTTAAGGATACTCTACAAATTCTCCTTGGCTCTTAGGGTAAAGGAAAATATCTGAGTTCCTCCATAGGGAATGATCATACTCTGATCCTGCCAAGAAAGAAGGCTGCAAGATTGAAGCAGACTACTGAAAAGTCAGTGGCAGAAATAGGGATGAAAAAAATATCTGTTGTTTCTTTTCATAGGTGTTAATCTATAGGTAATTCACAATGCTCAAAATAAAGGCTGATATCTGTATCATCTGCACTAGCATCAACATGGAGACTTTTGATGTGGCTAATCCTAAATCTAAGGTCATTTTACGTCACAGAGCCTATGTGCGTCATGTTTAACACTTTCAAAACCTTCAGTTTTTACCTAAAAAGGTACTTCCTCTTGCAAATATTACTTACCTGCTCACACACTTCTGTATCTACGTTTGTATCCTTATTATTTTCATAATACCTACTATGTCTTATAACACTAAATGTACAGTGCTATAAATGTCTATAAATCTTATAATAGACTATATATTTCCTGGGACAAAACACTAGACTAACCTTATTTTTATTCATTATTGTATGCTAAGCCAAATTCATGACTCCTGACATATATGATTAATAGAAAAAAAAGTGGCTGGGTGATTTAAAAAATAAGAAAAAAATTAAAAAATATGAAAAACTATTAATGTAAATTCAAAGTTAAAAAGTAAATGCTAAAAACGAACAGAATACTGTAATAAAAAATGAAGTTGATCAAAACATAATAATAAAGGGAATGAAAAACAAAACTAATACAAGATATGGTATTAGCAGCAAAAAAAAAAGTAAAATAAATAATACAATTAAAACAACAAAAATGAAATTCAAAAGTCTGTATAAAATCTTTTGCTAAAATTTCAAGAAAATATTGTTGAACTGAAAATGTAAACATTTATCCAATTTTAAAATAAGATACCAAGTTTAAAACCAGCAAGGTGAAAATAAGATGATAATAGATAAAAATCAATGATATGAGATAAATTGTTTAAATGCAAAATTTAAAAAAATGTATTTTTTTTTAAATTTAGCAAATAAGTAGCAAATATTTTAAAAATTAATAATTTAAGCTGAAGAGGAGATAGAAAGAAGTTACCAGAAGAAACTAAGAATGAGTCTGCAAAACTCAATATTTGTTTGACTGTGGGAAATTTCCTTCTGTTTTTAGTTATCATCATATTTATGGCTCTGAAAAATCACAATTGATTCAGACTTGAGTTTCCATGATTTCTGCTTTAGGTGTTACTGTTAAGATAAACTTCATAGTTTGTTTATAAATGGAAGTAGATCCACCTAAACCTATTCATGTTTGTTTGTTTCAAAAAAAGGAAAAGAAAGTATTTGTTTGACAAGTGATGGTAGTCATAATATTGGAAATCTTATTTTTTTCCCACAGCCACTGAACTATGAGAAAAAGAAGTCATATACCCTCAACATAGAAGGAGCCAATACACATCTTGATTTTCGCTTTTCTCACTTGGGTCCTTTTAAAGATGCTACCATGCTGAAAATCATTGTTGGGGATGTAGATGAACCACCACTATTTTCCATGCCTTCCTATGTCATGGAAGTCTATGAAAATGCCAAGATTGGGACTGTTGTTGGCACAGTTTTGGCACAAGATCCCGACAGTGCTAACAGCTTAGTAAGGTATGGTATACTTCCACCTTTTAGACATATACAGAGTTTATTGACTCTCACAGTAATTTAAAGTGAATTAAATAATATTTTAAATATTTCTTTTCTATGTTCTTTTCTTTTCTTTTTTTTTCTTGCATATATACCATTGTATTCTTTTTTTTGTTTAACAACTTAATTGGAGTACAATTGCTTTACAATGGTGTGTTAGTTTCTGCTGTATAAAAAAGTGAATTGGCTATATGTGTACGTATATCCCCATATCCCCTCCCTCTTGCGTCTCCCTCTCACCCTCCTTATCCCACCCCTCTAGGTGGTCGCAAAGCACCCAGCTGATCTCCCTGTGCTATGCAGCTGCTTCCCACTAGCTATCTATTTTACATTTGGTAGTGTATACTACCAATACCACTCTCTCACTTTGTCTGAGCTTACCCGTCCCCCTCTCCATGTCATCAAGTCCATTCTCTACATCTGTGTCTTTATTTCTGTCCTGTCCCTAGGTTCATCAGAACTTATTTTTTTTATTTTAGATTCCATATATATGTATTAACATACAGTAATTGTTTTACTCTTCCTGACTTATTTCACTCTCGTTTCTTTTTATGGCTGAGTAATATTCCATTGTATATACGTACCACTTCTTCTTTACCCATTCATCTGTCGATGTCCTGGGTATTGTAAATAGAGCTGCAGTGAACATTGTGGTACATGACTGTTTTTGAATTATGGTTTTCTCAGGGTATATGCCCAGTAGTGGGATTGTGGGGTCATATGGTAGTTCTATTTGTAGTTTTTTAAGGAAGCTCCATACTGTTCTCCATAGTGGTTGTATCAATTTACATTCCCACCAACAGTGCAAGAGGGGTCCCTTTCTCCACATCCTCTCCAGCATTTATTGTTTCTAGATATTTTGATGATGGCCATTCTGACTGCTGTGAGGTGATACCTCACTGTAGTTTTGATTTGCAATTCTCTAATAATTAGTGATGTTGGGCATCTTTTCATGTGTTTGTTGGCAATTTGTATATCTTCTTTGGAGAAATGTCTATTTAGGTCTTCTGCCAATCTTTGGATTGGGTTTTTTGTTGTTTTGATATTGAGCTGCATGAGCCGCTTGCATATTTGGAGATTAATCCTTTGTCACTTACTTTATTTGCAAATTTTTTTTTTCCCATTCTGAGGGTTGTCTTTTCATCTTGTTTATGGTTTCCTTTGCTGTGCAAAAGCTTTTGTTTCACTAGATCCCAATTGTATATTTTTGTTTTTATTACCATTTCTTTAGGAGGTGGGTCAAAAAGTATCTTGCTGTGATTTGTAACATAAAGTATTCTGCCTATGTTTTCCTGTAAGAGTTTTTTATTGTCTGGCCTTACATTTAGGTCTTTAATCCATTTTGAGTTTATTTTTGTGTATGGTGTTAGGGAGTGTTCTAATTTCTGTCTTTTACATGTAGCTGTCCAGTTTTCCCAGCACCACTTATTGAAGAGGCTGTCTTTTCTCCATTGTATACTCTTGCCTCCTTTATCAAAGATAAGGTGACCATATGTGCATGGGTTTATCTCTGGGCTTTCTATCCTGTTCCATTGATCTATATTTCTGTTTTTGTGCCAGTACCATATAGTCTTGATTACTGTAGCTTTGTAGTATAGTCTGAAGACAGGGAGCCTGATTCCTCCAGCTCTGTTTTTCTTTCTCAAGATTGCTTTGGCTACTCAGGGTCTTTTTTGTTTCCATACAAATTGTGAAATTTTTCATTCTACTTCTGTAAAAAATGCCATTGATAGTTTGGTAGACATTGCATTGAATCTGTACATTGCTTTGGGTAGTATAGTCATTTTCAAAATGTTGATTCTTCCAATCCAAGAACATGGTATATCTCTCCATCTGTTTGTATCATCTTTAATTTCTTTCATCAGTATCTTATAGTTTTCTGCCTACAGGTTTTTGTCTCCCTAGGTAGGTTTATTCCTAGGTATTTTATTATTTTTGTTGAAATGGTAAATGGGAGTGTTTGCTTAATTTCTCTTTCAGATTTTTCATCCGTAGTGTATAGGAATGCAAGAGATTTCGATGCATTAATTTTGTATCCTGCTACTCTACTAAATTCATTGATTAGCCCTAGTAGTTTTCTGGTAGCATCTTTAGGATTCTCTATGTATCATATCATGTCATTTTCAAACAGTGACAGTTTTACTTCTTCTTTTATGATTTGGCTTCCTTTTATTTCTTTTTCTTCTCTGATTGCTGTGGCTACAACTACCAAAACTATGTTGAATAATAGTGGTGAGAGTAGGCAACCTTGTCTTGTTCCTGATCTTAGAGGAAATGGTTTCAGTTTTTCACCATGGAGAACAATGTTGGCTGTGGGTTGTCATATATGGCCTTTATTATGTTGAGGTAGATTCCCTCTATGCCTACTTTCTGGAGTGTTTTAATCATAAATGTGTGTTGAATTTTGTCAAAAGTTTTTCTTCATCTATTGAGATTATCATATGGTTTTAATCCTTCAATTTATTAATATAGTGTATCACATTAATTGACTTGCATATATTGAAGAATCCTTACATTCCTGGAGTAAACCCCATTTGATCATGGTGTATGATCCTTTTAATGTGCTGTTGGATTCTGTTTTCTAGTATTTTGTTGAGGATTTTTGCATCTATATTCATCAGAGATACTGTAGTTTTCTTTTTTTGTGACATCTTTGTCTGCTTTTGGTGTCAGGTTGATGTTGCCTCATAGAATGAGTTTGGGACTGTTCCTCCCTCTGCTACATTTTGGAAGAGTTTGAGAGGGATCGGTGTTAGCTCGTCTCTAAATGTTTAATAAAATTCACCTCTGAAGCCAGCTGTTCCTGGGCTTTTGTTTGTTGGAAGGTTTTTAATCACAATTTTTATTTCAGTGCTTGTGGTCAGTCTGTTAATATTTTCTATTTCTTCCTGGTTCAGTCTCAGAAGGTTGTGCTTTTCTAAGAATTTGTCCATTTCTTCAGTTTGTCCATTTTATTGGCATATAGTTGCTTGCAGTAATCTCTCATGGTCTTTTGTATGTCTGCAGTGTCAGTTGTTGCTTCTTCATTTTCATTTCTAATTCTGTTGATTTGAGTCTTCTCCCTTTTCTTCTTGATTAGTCTGGCTAATGGTTTATCAACTTTGTCTTCTCAAAGAACCACCTTTATTTTTATTGATCTTTGCTATTGTTTCCTTTATTTCATTTTCATTTTTTTCTCATCTGATCTTTATGATTTCTTTTCTCTGCTAACTTTGGCTTTTTTTTGTTCTTCTTTCTCTAAATGCTTTAGATGTAAGTTTAGGTGGTTTGTTTGAGATTTTTCTTGTTTCTTGAGATAGGATTGTATTGCTATAAACTTCCCTTTAGAACTGCTTTTGCTGCATCCCATAGGTTTTGGGTCATCATCTTTTCATTGTCATTTCTTTCTAGGTATGTTTTTATTTTCTCTTTGATTTCTTCAGTGATCTCTTTGTTATTTAGTAACGTATTGTTTAGTCTCCATGTGTTTGTATTTTTTACAGTTTTTTTCCTGTATCTGATATTTAGTCTCATAGTGTTGTGGTCAGAAATGATACTTGAAAATATTTCAGTTTTCTTAAATTTACCAAAGATTGGTTTGTGGCCCAAGATATGATCTATCTTGGAGAATGTTCTATGAGTACTTGGGAAGAAAGTGTATTCAGTTGTTTATGGATGGAATGTCCTATAAATAGCTGTTAAGTCTATCTTTTTTAATGTGTCATTTAAAGCTTGTGTTTCCTTATTTATTTTCATTTTGGCTGATATGTCCATTGGTTAAAGTGGGTTGTTAAAGTCCCCTACCGTTATTGTGTTAATGTCAATTTTCCCTTTTATGGCTGTTAGCATTTGTCATATTTATTGAAGTGCTCCTATGTTTGGTTCATAAATATTTACAATTGTTATATCTTCTTCTTAGATTGTTCCCTTGATCATTATGTAGTGACTTTCTTTGTCTCTTATAATAGTCTTTATTTTAAAGTCTATTTTGTCTGATATGAGGATTGCTACTCCAGCTTTTTGTTGATTTCCATTTGTATGCAATATCGTTTTCTATCCCCTCACTTTCAGTCTGTGTGGGTCTCTAGGTCTGAAGTGTGTCTGTTGTAGATAGTGTATATTTGGGCCTTGTTTTTGTATCCATTCAGCCAGTCTATGTCTTTGGTTGGAGCATTTAGTCCATTTATATTTAAAGTTATTATTGAGATATATGTTCCTCTTACATTTTCTTAATTGTTTTGGGTTTGTTATTGTAGGTATTTTCCTGCTCTTGTGTTTCCTGCCTAGAGAGGTTCCTTTAGCATTTGTTGTGAAGCTGGTTTTGTGGTGCAGAATTTTCTTAACTTTTGTTTATCTAAAGATTTTAATTTCTCCATCAAATCTGAATGAGATCCTTGCTGGGTATATTAATCTTGGTTTAGGTTTTTCCCTTTCATCACTTTAAATATGTCCTGCAACTCCCTTCTGGCTTGCAGAATTACTGCTGAAAAATCAGCTGTTAACCTTATAGGGATTCCCGTATATGTTATTTGTTGCTTTTCCCATTGCTGCTTTTAATATTTTTTCTTTGTATTTAATTTTTGATTCTTTGATTAATATGGGTCTCAGCGTGTTTCTCTTTGGGTTTATCCTGTATGGTAATCTCTGTGCGTCCTGGACTTGATTGACCATTTATTTCCCCATGATAGGAAAGTTTTCCACTATAATCTCTTCAAATATTTTCTCAAACTCTTTCTTTTTCTCTTCTTCTTGGACCCCTATAATTTGCATGTTGGTGCATTTAATGTTGTCCCAGAGGTCTCTGTGACTGTCCTCAATTCTTTTCATTCTTTTTTCTTTATTCTGCTCCCTGGCAGTTATTTCCAGCATTTTATCTTCCAGTTCACTTATCCGTTCTTCTGCCTCAGTTATTCTGATATTGATTCCTTCTAGAGTATTTTTAATTTCAGTAATTGTGTTGTTTATCACTTTGTTTGCTCTTT